CCTCCACTGGCTGCCCAAGGCCTGCCCCCCAGGCGTGCACGTCCTGGTCTCCCTCTCTGCAGCGGAGCACGGCCTCCTGCAGACGCTGCGCGAGGCCGTGCCCGAGGCCGAGGCGTACTTCGAGATGGGGCCGCTGTCCAGCGAGGAAGGCAGGGAGATGCTGGAGGGGCTGCTGGCGTCAGCCGGACGGAAGCTGAGCCCAGCGCAGCAGGCTGTTCTCCAGCACAGCCTCCCAGCCGGCGGGGACCCCTTGCTGTTTCAGCTGGCTTTCCAGCAGGTCCGGAGCTGGGCCTCCTACACCCCACCCTCAGCACTGGTGATAAGTCGCACGGTGCAGGACGCCCTGCACCAGCTGTGTGACACGCTGGAAAAGCTCCATGGCTCAGTCCTGGTGTCACGGGCTCTTGGCTATATTGCCTCCTCGCGGTGAGTACCAGTGCCGCCCCTCCGGAAGCGTCTTGCAGTCTCCTGACTACTCCTTCTATTGGGGGAAATCTGCTTAAATGCATCGGCAGATAATGCAGCAGCTCTGCCCTTTTTCCAGCCTGCAGGGATCTTTAATACAAACTCTTCTCTTGCCCCCCAGCCTGTGTCAGTCCTGGCCGGGGGGCAGTGTCCCAGGGGCTGTGCGTCCAATACTTAATCTCCCATGCTCATCCAGTCCTTGTCAGTCTCACAGCCAGTGGGTGCCCTGGTTGTGGGTGTCAGGCTGTACGTGCCTGTGACCAGCAGCTAGATGAGGTTCCCATAGATGCTTGTTCAGGGGCAGCACTGGACTACAAGCCATAGTGTGTGAGAGATGGGAGCCTCTCACTCCCACTTAGAGTGCCACTGCGTGCAGCAGGGAGGAGGAGAATAACCTCCCCCTCTTCCTACACCCATCCTGCAGGAATGGGCTGGCAGAGGCAGAGCTGAAGGACATCTTGTCCCTTGATGATGAGGTTCTGTCTGAGATTTACCAGCATTCCTCTCCTCCAAGTAAAACCATCTTGCGTTTTCCCCCTCTGCTGTGGGCACGACTTCGCCGTGACGTTCAAGACTGCTTAGTGGAGAGGCAAGCAGATGGCTTCGCCCTTCTTGGCCTTGCTCACAGGTACGCGGGGACACGCTGAGGCACGAATTCCTGTGTCTGGGATGTCCCAGGTCTGAGCTGTGCAGAGAACCCGTCTTAGGCTCTTTGTCCCCGCTCTGCTCTTCATCCCCATCGGCACCAACTCATAAGAACGCTGTGCCCTGGCTTCTCATTTCAGTGCCTTCCCTGTTTCTTTCCCTCTCCAGGCAGTTTGCTGAGGTTGTGCAGAATCGTTACCTGTCCGCACAAAACCAAACCAAACGGCATTTGCTCCTGGCAGATTTCTTCAGGGGGACTTGGAGCTGGGGGATGAAAAAACCCTTTCTTTTGCCACTCTGTGGCACAACCCTCAATGCTGACAGGAAGGTGAGGCGTGTCAGCAAGCCTTCTCTGTAACCCGGAGCTCCATCGCTGATAGTCCTACCTCTAGCAACCATCTTGTTTCAGGTCACCTCTTGCTCCGCTCACCTCTGCAATATTCCTATAGCTACCATCTCCCACAGGATGTCGCCTAAAGGGCTGGCCATTGCATCATGAGACAGCACCCAGATACTGCAATACTAGTGTTATTAGAAAAATTAATCTACAGACTCCGTCTCCCCTGTGTTCTCCTCAGTAATCTCCTCCTTTCTTTCCCAGGTAGCACCTCAGCCGCTCTGGTTCTCTGATACTGTTGCAAATCAGAGGAAACTGCGTGAATTCCCTTTTCACTTACTCCGTGCTGGGCGAATTGAGGAGCTAAAGCAGGATGTACTGGGTAAGGGCTAGGGGGTGCAATGCTCAACGGGGAACATTTTCACGCCTGCACTTGCACACAAGGGAAGCACAGAATCGCAGCAGTTCTGCATGGAAAGCACTGGAAGCTGCCAATAGCGTCAACAGGCAAACTAGGAAGGATATCTGTGAAAGAGAGACAGTTAATTCTCCCAGTCCCCCATTATCCTTTCCTCTGTTACTGAAAGAATCAAACCTGTTTCCAACTCCTCCTAAGGCTTAGAAGCAAATTTTTAAAAGTAGCAGAGGAAAAAAAAAACCACACTCTGAGAGAGGCCCAAAAAGGAACCATGAGAGTGACAGTCCTCAGCTTCCCTGGAGCAGGCCTTGATTTTTCCACTGCCCACCCACCTCCTACGGTTGTCAACTCCCCAAGCCCTCAAGTAGCTTTGCTCCCCCTTTTGCCTGATCTCTTCTCTAATAGTCAGCACTCCTTCCTGCAGGGAATATGAACTGGATCATCTGTAAAATCACTGCTGCTGGAATAGAGAGTGTTGTGGATGACTTAGACATGTGCATTACTCATACTAACTGCCCAGAATTAAGTCTTGTGCGAGATGCACTCCTCCTCCTGAAACCAACCATTGATGATATGGATGGCGTTGTAGGTAAGAGCTTGACTTTGTCACACTTGCAAGTGGGCAGATCTTTTCCAGGAAAAGGGTTGCCCCTCTGTCTCCCTAGAAGAAACTTCTTTCTGGGTCATTTCAGTTAATGGCCTCCCCCATGTGGAGAGCTGGCACAAGACTCATACAGTGCTTAGGTCTGGCAGAGCTACTGCATGGGACATGAAAAGTCATCAGCTTTCACCAACAAGTCCAAGGGAATCTTCCCAGTGGTTTTCCAGCTCTGTGCAGTAGTAACACTAATTAAAGAGAAGGATTCACAATTTCCTTCCAAAATGGAAATGCTCCAACAGCCAGTTAACTCTACCTGCACTTTTATGCCATGTGATTTACTGCTGTATCCGAGTGTCTTGTGGTGGAAACACAATTTTGAGACATTCACTTCAGTTTGTTGCATGTTCTTAGTGTATGAACTGCAGTGCATACAGGATGTTGCTAGTGGCCTCTCCCAGGTGTACCGTGGCCACGAACTGGGAGCCTTTGAAATCTCCTTTTGTTTTTCCACCTTGCAGGAGTGAGTATTATATATACAGAAGTGCTGGCCAGGCTTCATTTTTTCATGTCATCTTATCCGGACCTCATTGGGAGGTTGTGCCAGCAGTGTCTACACTGGTTTGAAGTCTGTCCGTATCCTGTTCTCATCCCACTGTGTGGATTCCTTCAGCCTCCTGGTGGGCCTCTGCAGAAGACTCTCACTGGGTTTCTCAAAGGTAAGGGTTAGAGGTAGGGGCATAGTAAGGACCTTCACTCAGAGAATTGAGATCTCCACAGAAATTGACAGGCACAAACCATCTTAATGAGTCTAAAAATACAGGCGCTAAAAACTAGTTAGCACTGGTGTCAGCACTTTTTGGTCTGTGCATCTCTTGTCCCCTAGCAGCTGTGCCACTTGTTATTTGCTGCCTGGGAGATGATGTGCCATTTCTTGGTGTCTCCTGGTCGGTTTCAGACACTTAAGTAACTGTATCCATCACTGACACTGAGCCATCAGCACAGCACATATAATCACAAATGTCAGCAAACAGAAGGGAAGCCTGAAGAGGACTACAAGAAAATGACTGCTAATGCTCACACTAGCCCAAGAAATGAAAACCTAGATTTCGTTTTCTGTTTTTTATTTATTTCTCAGTGTGAAGTGGTGGCATAAGTGTTGTAAACAGTGGATATTGTGCTCTGTTTGATAGGCAGAAGTAGGTGCAGCAGTAGCGTCCAGTTTGCCGAATATCAAGACTTATTAATATTTGGTTCCCTTATTTCCTGGCATTAGCCACCTGTAGCAATGCTTCAGTAGATTAGAAATAAAGTTTGCCAGGCTGTCCCAACATATACAGAATGAAACAAGATAGCTCCTAAACTCCTGGCTTCACAAAGAAAAAGGATCCAGATCTATTTGCTGATTATATAATTTATAATGAGCTTTGCACCAGATTCATGTGGAATTGCTGAAAGGCCAAGTCTCTCTCCCATGCAATAAAAGGGGGAACACTGGTGTAGATACATCTGAAGGAATCTAATTTAGCCTGGTTGGCTTCACCGTATCGTTACCCAGGTGACCTTGGCAAGGGACCTGCTGCTGTCACAGATGGGAAGAATTCCACCGCATCAGTTTTCTAGGGGTCTCCTTGTAGCCTACAGCCACTTCTTTCATCTGTGTTTCACTGCAGGTGTCACAGTACTGGAGCTCAGTTCTGAGCACAAGCTGATGGTAGCAGGGTCCCAAGACGGTTCAATGCTTGTGTGGAACATGGAGAATATTGAGGTGATGCAAGCCCTGACTGGTCACACTGGTGAGCCTTTCAAGAGATAGGAATTGTTCCTGGACTTCTGCTTCATTACACTTCAGGCAGAGCTGTGCAACAGCAATACCCAGACCTCTGTATTAGCATTTTTTCCTAAGATTAAGGTGCTGTCAGTTGCATTCGAGGGCCAAGTTCTCCTCCACAAAACAGATTCCCCTAATAGTGATCAAGGAACTTGCCCCAAATGAAAAATCATCCTAGGATGCAGCAACTGAAAACCTCTAAATGCCTTAAAACTGACCCTCTCTAATGTTGTCATGCAATTCACTCTCCTTAGAACATTTTTCTCATGGCCTTACCAGGGTCCCAACTGCATTGGATCACTCCTATGCTATAAGATCAGCAAGTACGCCACAGCTAATGGTAAATCCAGGCATTTTATCCAATTGTGGGAAGTGTTTATTTGTATGAAATAGAATACAGCAAACACATGACAGAACAAGCTAGAAACAACCTGTTGTTTTAGATTTGATATCCACTGCAAGGCCGTAAGTGCAACCATTAAATGATCAATAGGACATTCCTCTGTGATGCGTGCTATAGTTTGGATTTTGTCTCTCTCTCGCTCTCTCTCTCTCACACACACACACACACACACACACACACACACACTCTCTCTCTCTCTCTCTCTCTCTTGGGGTCTTTAAAAAAAATCCATTTATGTAGTAAGCAGTTGCATCTAACTTGTTCAGTATGAACCCTGTTTAGCATTGTCCAGCTCTGCCTTGGTAAAGCAGAGCCAGGAGGCTTAGATGTGGAGTCCGTGATGAGACATGTATTAGTGATGTCAATTGCACTCCATTGCTGGATCCATTTTTCCTTGATGTTAAAGTTTTTGTCATTCAGCTCTCTTCCTACATGCCAAAATGGCCTTCTCAACTTAAGCCTTGGCTTAGAGGGGGGTCATTAAATTCCTGAGAAATTAGTAATGAATTGAATGTAAGCAGCTCTTTGTAGACTATTTATGTTGGAGATCAGGAGGAGGGGCATGAGAGGACAAACAGCCAAGGAACAGGAGTGTATCTGCAAGCCTGCTGTGAGTCGCTTTGTTTCATTCAGTTGAGAGTCAATCGGGCTGGCATAGGTGCTCCTGCCCCAGACTGGGGAACAATACTCAGCCACTGAACAAACAAGAGCCAGCATCGACATTCTAAAAACGTCAGCATCGCTTCCCCATCCAGTTTTGAGATGATGTTATTACGTGTGGCAAGTTTGTTCTTATTTATTTGTAGATAATGCCTAGAGGCGAGATGAGAGTCAAGGTGGACTCCTAAATATTTGGGGTTGGGTTCATAGCTGACCAGTTTTCCACAAAAGCCGATTCTTAGATAGGCGTTCACCTGTGCGTCAATGAGGTGAAACAAGGAATAAACTTTTGTCAGGGTTGGGCTTCAAATGTCATTCATTAAAATAGTTGTCTAACTTTTTACCAAATCATTACCAAGTGGTTCCAATAATACTAGGGTCAGAGCCCTGTGTGAGGATAGCACTACCATCAGCGTAAATAAGTTTTCTTGATTGTGTATAGGGAATATCGTGTATACCAATTGGAGAGGATGGGTGTCAGAACAGAGGCCTGTGGTAAACTGCTGTTGACAAATCAGCAACCCCCTTTTTGCTAACTCTCTTCTCTGTTACGTTGTAGCCGAGGTGAAGTGTGTGAAAGTGTTTGGAAAAGGGACTTCTGCTGTCTCAGCTGCCATGGATCACACTTTACGCATCTGGAATTTAGTTTCTGGCAGAGAAAAGTTTTCAATCGAGGACACTCACTTCAGCACACCGCATCTGCGTCAGCTTCACGTTGATGAAAGGAACATGGTTGTTTATTCAGCATCAGGTGAAAAGGTACAGAACTCGTACCTGTTCCATAAGGTAAAGTGCACAGAGAGGATTACAGCCTACTATGGGTCTGAGTAGAAAACTGAAGAAGTTGTTATAACATCAGGAAGGTTAAGGAGTAAAGTGACAAGCTGGTCTTCCAGTCCTCACTCTGTAGGATATTTCTTAGTACTCTACCTCATATAGGTAATAACATTTTTAAATGATGGGACTTGCTTCCCTTCCCTTCCATTGACTAGTGCAGCAAATCTTATTTTCAGCAATCAACTTACCAAGGAACTAGAAAAGAATATTGATTGCTTGGAGCCTTAATAGATGCAAGAGCCAAGTATAAGTGCTTCCAAGAAATCTTTTGTATGATGCTCCAAGATATTTAGTGTGAAAGGCAGAAGCAAAGCCAGTATCTAACTTCTAGAGTGAATATGCAGTTAAATGTTGAAAGGGACATAGTGGGACTAGGCCATATGTCAATCCTTCTCCTTTTTTACTAGGTTAGTGGCTGGCATCTGGAAACAGCAGAACTTGTTTTCCAGATTTCTGGTGATGTCCAAGATGTGTGGCTGTGTACTGCTGTGTTTGTCCCAAGGCTGGTAATTCTGACAGTGTCTGAAGGAGGAATAGTGTGCCTGTGGGACAGAAGCACTGGAGCAATGCAGTCTAAACACCAGCTATCATGGCTACAGAAAGAAGCACCAACTTGCAGTGCTTTGATCCAGAAGCAAGAAAAGATGGTGGCAGGATTTAGCAAAGGGTCCCTGTCCGTGGTATGTGGCTATCTGCTTAGCTGTGCTATAATGTTTTAGGATTTAAATCTGCAGGTGGATCCTAGATTATCTCTTCTCAGTGTCATTTTGCTCTGTGCTGCTGTCCATATCTTTGGTCTTTTATCATTGCATAAATTATTTGATATATTTTCACAGTTCTGTGACTTCCAAGAATTTCCAAGGCAGCCAATATAACATGACCTGTCACAAGGTCCTCTGTCTGTTCTTCTGCCTTTTCCTTATTGTCTGTCAGCAGCAACACAATTGTGAGGTGTCAATGAACTAGGGTGCTGTGTCTGACACTGCCAGAAACTCACTGTGAGACTAAGCACATCATTTTCTCTCTTGGTGCCTCAGTTCCTCCACGTGTAATAGGAAAAAAGTATGTATCACTGGAATGTTATCTGTTCACCAAGCACGTTCAGCTGCTCTGGGGATGGAAGTTGCCACACAGAAGAATATTGTTAGGAAAGGAGAAAGGCATGCAGAGGAGAAGAAAACTTGCAGTGAGCCCTTCCTTGTAATTGTCCACAGAGAGCAAGTGAAATGGATCAAGTCACAGTTCCAGGCACCATTTCCAGTTGTGCTAAACTGGACACAGGCTAGGCCTCCAGAGCTCTTCATCTCCTCAGGATGAGCAGAGCAGGCTCCCTAGACCTTATTTTCTAAAACTAGAACAGTTTTACTAGTCTATGCTAGTGTACATCTAGGAAGCATACAGAATCAACAGGCAAACCAAACTCCACTCCTTTCAGTTACAGTCAAGCAACACTTATCTTCCACCTAAAGAGAGGCAGCTTAACAAACCTAATTGAATTTTCTGATCACAGCTTCTTTTTGCACAGATTTCTTCTGATGGAACCAGCCTGCTGGAGAAGCTTCCTCAAGGTGTTCGCTTTGTGGTGACATCAGAAGATGAGTCCTTCCTTGCTGCAGGTTTAGCTCCAGCCCCGATACTTAGGAAAAATATCACCCAGTTTCTAAAAGATGACAGCACAAGTTATTCCACATATTGCATACCAGATGCTGCTCAAACAGGGGCCAAAATGGGGGAGGTCTTCCTACTTTATTATTACAGTCTAATTAAGAGGCTCAAAGAGTGGAAAGGAATGGGTGACACGTACCTTTTGCAAAGAACTCACACATGGCCAATGTACCTACACCCTCGGTCATGCACACTGTAGGATTTATGACGGGGTAAATTTAACTCCTAGATTTCTGAACTGTTTTCATTAAAACAACTTCAGTAACACACACTGACTGACTAACACAGTATGTTAGGGATGCCAAACACTCAGCTCAGTGGATCTGGCTTGATCTATACCCTGAGAACTTGTATTTAAAAGTCTTGTAGTCCAAGTCTTTGTACCCCAAACCAATACATTCAGTAACTACAGTCCATTCTTTTAGGCTTTGGGGAATACGTGAGATTGTTCCTGGCTGATTCAAATGGATTCTGCAGGTTTCTAGCAACAGACTTGGAGCATGAAGGTGTGGTGCATACAGCTGTTATCTCTTCTGACAATAACATCATTGTTACTGGCTCTCAAGCTGCATATATCCAGGTGAGGGAACCAGGGCAACTTTCCTGAACTGCCTTTTCCAGACAACTCACAAAATGTGTAAGGTGCTGATCACGTTCTGCACAGCCACAAAATCATCCCCAAATCAGGTTGTTAAAGTACTTTCGTCATTGCCTTATTTGAAGATCTCTTCCCCCTTCTTTCCTGGTTTTAGTCTTTTCTCTGTTCTCTTGTTATCTCCATTTCTGGCACTGAACCAAAAACAGTAGTAGTTTGTAAATATATTGAATGCCAGGCTGAGGTGAGCTGCTAGCTAGTATAACACATTTTTTCTTTAAACATTTAAGCTGTACTATGCACTAACCAAGAAAGTTAAAGCAGTCCTGATGGAACATTCCCTACCTGTGGTGCCATGTCTTGCCAAAGGGGCCAATACCCAGAAATGTCTGCAGGATCATTCGGAACACGGATCAAACTGTGCTGGCCCAGGTGAATGCTGCTAATGCAGTGTTGCTTTTGGAAGCTGTCCCATCTCTCTTCATCCTGTGTTTTGCAAACTCAGTTTTTCTTCTTTTGTTTTCAGTTTTATGAGGACAGGTCTTATGTACTGCAACATGGGCTTTATTTCTCAGAGGTCTAGTCTATAAAGATCACAAATCAACCAATCTCCTGAGTAGGGACAGTGAGAGGAAAGGTCATTGCTTTTTGATTGTGTCTTCTAATCATTTTGACTGCATACCTCTTTTTCCTAATTCTTCCTAGGTGTGGAGTTTATCAGAACAGGGTTTGCTGAAGAATACCTTGGGTAACCTGGGAACACCAGCAATGTTCTTAGCCCTGCATGGTTGCACATTGGTATCTGCTTCCCACAATGCCCCATGTGTCAGAGCATGGGACCTCTCTTATGATAATAAGCACAACACTTTAGCACCTTTCCTAGATTGCAGTGCAGTCTCTCAAGATGGGAACTATGTTTACTTCCCTCAGCCTGGAGAGAACCATAAAGTCGTCATCTGGAACAGCATAGAAGGTGAACTGCAATCTAAAGCATATCTATAGAGAATTAGAGCTGGGCATGGTGGCAGGGGGAGGCAGTATTATGCAGGAAAGCAAATGACTGATTCAAGATAACCAGAAAAGGTTGTTGATCTCCCAACAGGGATGCAAAGCCAATCCCCTGAAGGTCTGGGTTAGGTTGAAAGGGCCTGTAGATTGGAAATCCACTTTTATCATTCTTATTTGGCTTTATTTTTGTCCGTATCATTATGACAACATATTCAGCTCTTATTTTGTCTCTCTCAGCTGCCCTTACTGTGAAGTTATAGGAAAAATCCACACTCAGCTCTGTAGAAGAGAAGTTATCCATGCAGAACTAGCAAAGGAAAGGCCTCACCAATCATCTTTTCTCTTGTAGGTGCAGAGTGTGACACACTGGACACCTCTGCTCAAGTGAGAAGTCTGGAGGTGGCTGAGCAGAAAAAACTCCTTTTCACTGGACTGGTATCTGGAACAGTTCTGGTTTTTCCACTGAATTCCAGGAAAGATGTGGTGTGCATCCCACCCCCGGAGTCACAAAAACCAGTCAACCACATAGCACTTAACAGGCAGGAAACACAACTGGTCGTAGCATATGATAACTTAGTCCTTGTGCTGGATGTCAACCCTGGAGAGCCATGCCCAGTGATTGACAAGCCCACTTATACCTTTTATACCCAGCTCCCTGCTGTTATTTCCAGTGTGGCTGTCCTTACAGGCTGTCGGGTCCTCTATGGCATGTCCAGTGGGGACTTATTCCTTTATGACTGTCCATGTTCCCAAGTATTTCCTTTGGAAGCCCACCGAAGCAAAATCACTTGTTTAGAAAATAGTCACGGAGAACAGTGGGCACTGAGTGGCTCTGAGGTTTCTCTGCTGTGTCTATGGGACTTGGAGCTCTGCCAATGGAAACACGAGATCTGCTATTATAAGGTACTGCACCAGCAGAGCTTGGGAACACAACATTATTAGTCATTTATTCCAATGAGCCAGTACAGACACAACTAGTCCAATTTTCAAATAGCAGGCTTTCCAAACACTAGCAGCTAGGTGCCTCCTTTTGGCATCTTAGGCCTGAACTGCACACTTGTATCCAGGTTTAGCTACCTCGTTAAAGAGTATGCTTTCTAGAGAGCCCACCAATGAACTAGTGCTGTTAAATTTTTTCTAGCCCCAAAACTCACATCTTCAGAGATGCTTGGTCAGAACTTATCCACCACATTCACTTAATTGCTTGCTTGCTTGCATCCTGTTCTTGGTTATGCACATTGTTTAGCTGAGGTCAAGTAAAAGCAGCATAAAGGACTAACAGGCTCAGCCCTGTGGAGTCCCATAAAAGGGGAAGTGATGGAAGAGCTTGAGCTATTTTTCAGCTTTTCACCTGTGCCTGACAGGCCTCAGCCTTTACCCAATGATAGGCTGCACAGTTTGCACTCACTCCTTTTGGTAGCCTTCTGAGCTTTTACAGGACACTTTTTTGAAGCGCTTTAGAAGCTTAAAAGCAAAATGCCAAGCTTGTTGCATTTTCAGTCTCGCTTAGAACCACTCTGGAAACATTGGTTAAGTTAAAATGTATGCCCGTTCTCACCTACCTAACAGTCAAACCATCTAGGTCTTCTTAATCTTCATGTGCATTTACTAGTACATTAGGGTCTAATTCAAACCCATTATCCATTTTTAGCATTCATCCTTCTTGAAAGGTATTGAATGTGCTTGCTTCTCAAAAGATGATAAATACCTGTATACTGGATTACTGGATCAATCCATTGCAGTTTGGGATGTTTCAAATGGTAAGTAAATCTGTATCGCCAGCTAAGACAAGAGGGTACACCTTACTGCACCATTTTCCAACCTTTTGAGCCTAGCCCCCAACTTTGTTTGTACCGACCGGCCCCCTCGCCCCAGAGGAGCAGCGCAGCCAGGCACAAGGCATCCCTCATCCTAGCAGCTGCTGTGGCTCTGCTCGGCTCAGCTCCAGCACCTCCTGCTTTGGCCCTGCTGTGGCTCTAGGCTGCACGCCCACTGCACTGGGCTCCCAGAGGTGCAGCAACCCCCTGGCAGAGCCTGCCCACCCCCACACCCCCCATGCAGCTGCAGTGGCTCCTTGCAAACTTCTTTCCCATGCCCCACTGTGCTGCACCCCCACCTCCATGCCCCCCAGGGGGGTGCGCCTCACAATTTGACAACTTCTGCTTTATTGTATATATTAAACAGGTATGTAAGCTCCTTTATGCGGTACAAAGGAAAACAAAATTTACACTCAGTTTAAATGAGAAACTAACTTGGTTACATGTTAGCACAAGGAATTTGGGATCTCTCTCCTGGCCAAAAAATAGATTTTTGACGGAGAGGTAAAGTCTCTGTAAGTTGCAGCTACATATAGATGGGCACTGACCCCTACCTCTGCCTCCCTTGAATCCATGAGAACATCCCACAAGTGCCTACCAGTACACCCTGACCTTCTGTGACACTGCAAAGAGAAGTACCATCCCCAGTGTCAAAAAGGGACTCTAGGGAGCAGCCTCATTACACTGACTAGCCCAGGGGCAGGCAGTTATTTCTGTCAGGGGGACACTTACTGAGTTTTGGCAAGCCATCAAGGGCCACATGTCAGGCAGTCTGGGGCAGATAAATATTCATTTTCTAAATTTTTAGGGGCCCCACAGGTGGGATAGAATGGCCTGGCAGGCCACATTTTGCCCACCCCTGAACTAGCCAGTGACATCAGTGTCTAGTTTTTGCCATAGATGTAGTACTTTCTACAGCAGGGAAGCTGCTTGAGGGCTTGTCAGGGTCTGTGTGTAAGGTACCTTCAAAATCTGTATTTAGACTCATCCTAAAAGCTTAGGCCCACATAAGAGCAAGAACATCATATGTGGCATAAGGGGAAAAAATGTACGCTTCCATTTTCCTTGCCTTTCCTCTGTTAGATGCTGTTGTGTGCTCACTCTTATTTCAGGGTTACATAACAATTGTGAACTTTATGCTTTAGCTTGTTATAAGGCTTGTGACTTGTCATCCTCTCACAAAGGATGGGCAGCTAGTTTAAACAAAGATGTTTAACTCCAGCTGTGTATTCTGCAGTTTGGATTAGTAGACTTCCTTTTGTTAAGCTGACGTGACAGGGGGCTTGCCTTCTTATCTGTCAAACAGGGATCCAGAACACTACTGGAACCGTAAGTAATGCACTTTCTTCACTGCAGGTTACCGTGCAGTAGCAAGTGCTTTCAGGGCAGCGTGCCCATGACCCTCTAAGACAAGTTAATCTCTGCAAGTTTTATGGCAAAATCCTTTATAGGCTTCTATTATCCACCCCGATCCTTGTTACAGTCTAAAGGAGCTGATGACAAACTTCCCACCCTTCCTTCACATTAACACCAGTAATTACAGGGCCTCCTGTCCTTCAAGTGTAACGTCTTATGCTGCAAATCATTTCCTTTTCATCTCCTGCAGGTGCTCTGCTGGCTGTGCAGTGTGTGCATGCAACTGCAAGAAGAATCGTGCCAACTGCTGATGGGTTTGTTGCAACAACAAATCTTGGCTATATAATTCGTGAGAAGTTCCACTGCCCACAGTCCAGCAGCCACCAGCACGACCCGCTCCAGCACGTGGAGGCAACATGCATAGTCAAATCCAGGAAGGGAGAAGAGGCAAATTCAGGAGTGCAGCATCGCAATCAAGGAAATGCCTCCAGACACCAGATTCAAAACCGCAAGCCTTCATGGATCTGTGCAATTGTGTAAGAGGAGCGAAGCAGCAGATCAGGACCACGCAGCCTCGGGACCCAAGATCAAGTGTTCAGGCCGAGCCTCTTAAGTCAGAAGCTGAGAGCTGGGGTCAAATTCGGGAGTTACTACATCTCTTCTCTGTTCAAATCTACACTACACAACAAAGAAAACCTAGTTAACTATAGTATTTCCCAGTGTATTTGATCAGTTAGCATTCAGGATTTCTTAGTGCCGCTGCACTGCAACAGTCAAGTAACGCACAGGGAACGTGGGTGCTGCGCTCGTGACGCTGCCTGCGCTGTGTTAGATTTTAACGGGTCAACGTGCTGCTATTGTGAGTGCCTCATTTACCAGAAGCAGAGTCCACCCGTCCGA